CTCCTGTGTGACCCTCCAGGACCAGGACTGGACCCTCCTGTGTGACCTGAAGTAGAAAGTGTCCCTCGATACTTCGTGGTTCGTTTGTCGTGGACTCGCTCTATCGCGGTTTTTCAAAATAAGAGAGGCCATGACACAATTGGCTGATGGACGAGCCACGGATTGTTTATTTAAAATAAATTATTGTAAATGATTTAGCGCCTGTGTGTGGCCCACAAGTGCAGGGAGACGCTCCCTCCCGCAGCTGCTCAGCTGATCTCCTTCTCTGCCACGCCCACATTTCTCCTGCAGCTCCCTTTGCTGTCCAGATGCACCGATCGACGTTTGTCTTCCAACTTAAAATTCAAAGTATGTCCCATCGTAAAATCGTCATAATCACAAAATATAAAAGTGTTAAAAGTTATTTTTAAATATTTTAGAACCTCATGTTCAGTTGTTCCAGTGTCATTGATCAAGAAGTTCATTTGGGCTGCAGAGCTGCAGCTGCGTGATATCCTGCTGCACTTCTCTACAGTTTAAATTTAAATCCTGTAGCATTTAAAAAACAGGGTTAAAGTCAACCCTCTGCTGTCACGGCTCTGAGCCACAGAGGCAGGTAGTAACAGCCGAGTGTGAGATTCAGAACCGAGGAAGTCCCACACGTTTAATGACGGTGCTCCTCGTCTCCAACTGTCCCAGGTCCTCACCGGACTGTTGGAGAGAACCAGCACATCCTGAAACGTTGGTGAGACGTGTGGACCAGGTGGAGCCCTGAGACGACCACTCGTCCGAATTTAACTTTTCCAATTATCAGCGTTTTTTATTAAAACTGTTCAGACGTTTGTTGTTCAGCTCCGATCCTGATTCCACTCATCAGGAAGAAAAACAAACGGCAGCTTCTCTGAATTTTTTTATTTATTTTTCTGGGGAGGGGTTTGGACCTCGGCACCTCGGGGGTTTTCCAGAACAATAGCATCAAAGGCCGAGGCACCTGCTCCCTGCAGCCTGAAGCTGCTGGAGAAGTTTGTTGCTTCCTCCTTCATGGAAACGCTGCACGTTCCAGAACTTTCCCACACCCTGACCCCCTGAGACCGCTCCTCCACCCAGACCCCCGGAGACCGCTCCTCCACCC